TACTGATTTCTTTGGGAAAGGCATTTGTACCCACATGGTTTGATTATTTAACTGTTACACCATTCATACAGTGGCTGAAAAACAGCTTCTAAGTGTGCAAACCTCAGATAATTCCATTTAGAAATTGTGAATGAATTCTGTAGTACAGCCAAAGGCCAGCCAATAAGCACTAAACATCCAGTTAACAGAATAAAGTGTAGTAAAAGAAACAGTAATGTAAAAGCAATGGGACATTATAAACTAAAAGCACTGAGAGAGATGGATTACCACTTATGCTGGTTACAATCCTTTCCGCCACATTCACTGCCCCACAAAAGTTTGCTTTGTTCTAGGCAGTTAGCAGGCTTTCTGTCCCAAATGAAAAGGTTGAGCAGGAATTCATCAAGATGGCCTGGAAACTTTGCATAATTTCCTATAAAATTCACAATATAGCAGGATATACACACTTATTATGAATTATTTCCTAGGAGTGAAACTGCAGAATAACTAGGCTGCATATAAGGTCTGATGGCATTGGCAGCAGACAGAAACGTGCCTACTTTTGAACCAAAGAACTTTAATATAGTTGCAGCACTATATTTTAGAAATAGATTCCACCATATGTGAAACAAACTTCAGTGAATCTGGAAACTGTAAGAACATTCTTCAGAACAGATTCCAGCTATCCTCCTACAAAGTAATATTCTTTGGTTTTTATCACATGTAATTTCTTCAAGAAAAAGCAAAAGTTCTGATGAGAAAGTTCGGGTACTTTTATTCTTGATTTAAATAAGCTACAGTTGAAATACCACTTATAAATCCATCTCTTGTATTATTTAACAACAGTTTGCTTCTTCAGATGATCTTAGAAAACTAGTAAGCATACTACTCTTGAACTACATCTTGAAGTTATGGCTTAAATTCAGTGGGTCTTGTTCCAAAGATAGTCTGTAACCTTCACTAGTCTTTTTCATTTGATTTATAAGTACCCTGGATACTTATAAATCAAGGGGTTTTTTTCTTAGCCCCATTTGTTTTCTGCAGACACAAATGACTTTGCCGATGGCATTTGAAAAGCTTTGATTTTACACTAAATGCTAAAAGGATGCATTGCTGCATAGCTCAAGAGATCGGTACATGAGCAGAAACAGAAAGCTTTCAGCACTTAGCATGTAAATGCAGACTGAGACCTTTCCAGAGCGATGATTATCTGATTTTTTTGTGTATATCTTTCTCAAAATTATTCTAGCTGGAAAACAAATTAACTTATGAGGCCTTCTCCAAATGGACTAGCCCAGAAGAAATGGAAGAAGTTGAAGCAAATGTTTATCTCCCTAAGATGCACTTAAATATCCACTATGAACTGAAGCCATTGCTGAGCGACATGGGAATAACAGATGCCTTCAGCATAGAAAAAGCTGATTTCACTGGGATGTCTGCAAAAAGCAATTTGGGTGTGTCCCAAATTTTTCATAAGTGCTTTGTTGACATCAATGAAGAAGGAACAGAAGCGGCTGCTTCAACTGCTGCTACTATAGATGGTCGAAGTGACCAAGATGCAATTTTATTTGCAGCTGACCACCCGTTCCTTTTTTTCATCCGGCACAACAAAACTAAAAGCATCCTCTTCTGGGGAAGGTTCTGTTCCCCCTGAAAGATTTCAACCTGATGTTAGCAAATAGAAAGGAAGTTACAGCAGAAGCAATGAGTAAAACCCAGGCAACATTTTGTCAACTATGTCTAAATATGGTGGGTTCTTTTCATTTTCTAATATCTTTAGAAACTGCAGCACAAGCCTACTGCTGATAGCAGAAAAAAGTCAAGTCATGGCTATTGGAAGGAATAGGAAGGAATCTGAGGAAGCATCTGAAACCACAAGCCAAAGTTTGTTTTTTATGATGTCTTTTTGTAAACAGTTTTAATGTGAGTTGGACAAGAGATCTAATTTGATATAATCATTTCCTATAATGGACTTAAGGAAACATTTTTTGTAAAAGTCAATGGAAATACGATGAGACAAATAATAAAATTAAATTCACACAATCCAGCATACAAAAAAGAATGATCTTTCATAGCCACCAAAGTGCAAACAACAACTTGCAACTTGTCAAATAAATAGTGTGAGAATATTGGGGTGGAGGTGAAATCAGAGTACATTGCCTCTCTTTAGGTTTACTGAATGCTAAGTCTTGGAATATTAAATTGCAGTATTAAATATTAAATTGCAGTAAATGGCAGACAAAAGATTAATAAAGCATCTGATTGTCAGATTTAACATATGAATGACTGGAATTAATTTGCATCATACGCCTTAATTGTATCTCCCTGCCCCTGAAATAAACTTCAACTCAGTTTTGAAACTTGAACTTATAGGTCTAAAAAGCAATTCAAGGCAGATAGACAGCAAAAGCATTCACAACAACAAAAATACAAAAACAACAACAAAATAACCCAATGTCCTATTGCCAGCAGATTTCGTGTCATTGTAGATGGAATTGTCAACAGACATTTTTAATGAAAACAGAATGATAGGGATACAAAACAGAACCATACATAGACTATTTGTTACTGTGATCCGAAGATTTAGAATAGCAGGGATTTGGGGAATAATTGTAGCAATAATAAATCCATTGTTATATACATAGAGAAAAACTATTGCAGAGACCATCTGTTCTTTTTCAGAACCTTCTTTGTTTCATGTGGTCCACAACCAAGATTACCATGTGGTATTGCTCTTTCTTGTAAGAGTTAAACCAAAAAGAGAGACGGGGCGGAGGGGGGTATGGCTGGTGAGAGAGGAAGGTCCTTACTTATCCACTGGGCCTATTCAGATTATTTTAATGTTAATTTTCATTAAAATCGCCCATTTACTCTGGAAGAGAATAATATACATATACAGACTCCAATTCCCATATTACTATTTCATCATAAACAGTGGCATTCCAAGATTAATTGCCAACAAAAGGTGCTCTAAGAAAAGCCTATAACTGACACCCCACTCCCAAACCCCAAGAGCAGATCTGCACTAAGGTTTATGATAAACTGGGAAACATTTTGTCTCTGTGATGAAGGAGTTCTGGTTGCTTCAGGACTATGTCAAGCATTTTCAGTAGGCTGTTTCCATTGTGGTCTGTAAGCACCGTTTAGTGTCCTCCCTTTGCTACTTCAACCACTGTGGAAGCCTAACTCTAGTTAGAAGCTTTGGGGAGAGCACGTGGTTGGAAAATTGGTAAGATGTTAGCTGTCAGTGGAGTTTATAACATAGGATGAATAATAGCTTCATTCTGGGGTTTTGTTCTATAAACTGACACACACAACATCTACTGAAAATGTATTTGGGCATATTCACTAGCAGATTACTTCCTTTTTGCATGGAGGGTCAGGGGACTTTTGTTCTTGCAGGAACTGCAATAGCTTGAGCTTGAGGTAGGACAATGAAGGGATGAAGAATGTGTAAGCCAGAGATAGTGAGAGCGTGCACACTCTCCAGCTGAAGAGAGGACTCTAAATGACTCCTGCTTCTTCTTTACATTCAGAGATCCGCAGGAGGGGAGACATTTCCAGGAAGGGCTTTGAAAAAAAATAGATGGATTGGGAAGTATAAATGCTGTAGAAATACTCTTAGGTGAATGCCTGTAAATTACCAACACATGAGTGACAGAAGCCAGATTCTCTTTCTATAGGTGAGCATATATGTGACTTATAGACCTAAACTATATCATTGCAGCCACCAAGGTATCTAGGATCCCCCTCAAATTGTCAGTGCAATTCCTCTCAAAATAGACTGAACATCTGCACTCAGATCACCTGGACTCCTACTGCATCAGTACTTTCATGCTTTCTTTGCTTAGTTTGTGGGCTCTTATCCAGTCCATTAGTGAACCTAGCTGCCCTTTGAAACAAGAAGGGGGAAGTTTGGTTTTATGCCCATGTTATCTTTAAAAATGATGGAAGGGAATGGTTCACACAGCCTTGAGCAGTTAAAAGACCCAAGAGAGTTTTACAAGCTTGACTTCCATATGGAAAGAGTGGAGTTTTAAGTGGTCAAGCAGATGACACGCCAGCCAAGTAGTTCTTGGGCACATCCAGACAGTAGATTCAACATGCTTTCCACCAGTCTATGAGGTGGCAACATAATTTGCTTTGTCCCCACAGTCAGTCTCTATTTTGCCTCAGTAAGGTGGCAAGACATGTTGTCCTGACAGGTTAATGCAGGGCAAGTTAATATGTAGCGATTGGGGGGGGAGGTGTTGTCCCTCCCACTGGATTCCCACCTCCACCAATGAGAAAAAGTCTGTGGATCAGAGACCAGACACTTGTCCACAACTAGCAGCTAGTATAATGTTGACTATTTGGCAGTCAGATGGAAAACAAAATAAATGCCAGGTTCTACTTTTCAAGATGCTTCCTGGTGATCTTTATTGCAATCCTGCTGCTCCTCTTCTGAACAAATTCAAGACGCTGAAAAGCTGTTCTTTCTCATTCCCGTGTCCATAAAAAAATTCTGGCTCCCTTCAGAGCTATTTCTCAGGACTTCCTTATCCATTTATAAAAAAATCTAAATACAGACATGCAGTTTTCATAAACAAACAGCAGCTTTGACATAATATTGCTAGGAGCAAAAATAATTCATATACTATTTCTTGAGCAGTTTTTGTTACCTGGGGAGGCATGACAGCAAGCCTTTTTCAGTGTCTGATAATGTTCACTGTGATATTTAAAATGCAGCAAACTATTTTTCAGGCATGGAAAGGCAAGGTAAGGCTCAGTATTACATTTCCACTGGTAGTTCAACAAAAAATGGTGCCTGAACAATGTCAGATCCTCTTTTTCTCTTTGAGGTTAATACAGTAGTCGCTTTTGGAAATGTATTAAAATATGGATTAGTATTTAAACGTCCAAATAACATAGAGATCTTAAATTATGTAGCTGCTAGCCAAGATAACAAGAGACAGGATGTTGACATGACAGTTACAAATAAGGGGAACTGTAGGCTGCTTTATATTTTTGCACAATTATTTCTTCACGACACCCCAGCCCAGAGGAAGAAGCACATTAATCCTAGCAACTCCAGGTACTGTACTATGAAATTTCAAGCATTATTAATGAATTACCAGTTAAAAGTAAAAAATCTTATTCTTTAGGAGTGAGAAAATAAAACATGAAAGTAGCAGCAAGATGCAACTTACTTACTGAAAAGATGAAAATGATTAGCATCAATGTTTTCATTTCTTTGTCAAGGTAGTACTGAATAAAATGAATGCTGAGCATTAATCGCAGAAAGGCAGGTGTCCATTTAAAAATATATGAAAAGTAAAAGAGACAGAATTATATATGGGATTGTAATGCACAAATGAGAATTACTGCATCTTCCAAAACGTGTCTTCTACACAACCATTAGGGACATTACTATTCAACGAGACTAAACTGAATTACAGCTGTTCTCCAACAAGGCATTTTTATTTGTATTATTTTACCATGTATAACCCACCTTCTGCCCGTGTGTCACTTCTAGGGCATAGGGAAACCTGAGAACTCTACATTTGTGGGGAAAACCAGGGATCTTTTCTCAGCAGCCTCCACAAAATACAATTTTCAGGATTATTTGCAAGGAACTACAAACAGTACAATACTGATACAAGGGTGAGGTAAGAGATTTTATGGTATCTACAAAGTAAGCACTTCACACCATTCCAAAGTATATTTATTGAAAATCTGACTGGCTGAGATAGCATTTGCACTATGAAGAAGGGCTGATGATCTATATACATGGCAGCTGTAGTAATAATCCAGCAAAATGCTATTTTAGACCGTAACTAGGAGGAAAGAACTGCTTTGAGCAAAGGCTTATGTGCTATGACTGTAACCCTGTTATCCTTTCTCTTTGAAAAATTGTGCCTTTGTCACACTACAAATTATGTACTGTATGGGGAAATTCTCCCCCCCCCCGCTTAAAAACACCTTGATGCTATTTCCTTGCCATTAGAATCTGTATTGTAGAGCTTCCCCACAGTGTAGAATATTTCAATGTTTTTTAAAAAAATACTACTGCTTCTAGCTGCTGATATATATGACAATCTCTATTTCAGAAATCCTTGCTACTTTTGATCTTATAGTACACCTCCACGAAGACACTGTTCAGCCAAGTCTGTTATAACTCATCTGCTGCATTTAATGGTGCTAAAAATCAAACCCTGGCCATTACTAGAAATATTCTATTATGGTCAAGAATTCCAAAACAAACAAAAACTATAGAAATTTGTTCAGAACACTCTTAATAGTATCTGGAACATACAGGCATTATGATTTTAGATATTGCCTAACATGATACAGGACACGCCTTTGAATTAACTCTTTCTTAGTAAATTGCCACTATAATACATAATATTATATTATATATTATAATATATAATTCTCACTGGAAGTCTATACAAAAATACTTTGAAGTATGTTCCACTGAAAGTTGGACTTTCTTTTCTACTAACGCACCTCAGACTAGGCCATAGTGTTGCAATATTACACTATTATGCATATTTAAATTATGGACATAATTTGTGGAACTCAATGGGACATATTTCTGAGTAAATATAATTAGGACTGCACTGCCAGGCTTTTTAAATATATGTACTTGTTTATACATGTGTATATACACATACATATAAAAGCCCCATCAGTGCAGCATAACCTAACTATGTTCATTCAGCAGTAAACTGCTCCAGGAGCTCCTAGGTTCGGCTTATGGTCACTCACTCACACACTCACAGCCTGTTGCGGCACACAGATCTTGTATGCCCCCCTTGCTTTCCACCTGGGTTTTCCAGATAGGTGCAGCTAGGGCAGGCAAGACACACAGCCCTGGGCAACAGCCCAGAAATAATTAGGGACACACACAAATCACTTCCAACCAAACATTGAAGTACAACAGGTTCTTTGGAATGCACGGAGACCCAGTGAATTTAAAGTAACAGCAAAACTTTACTGGTTACAATGTACATTTGCTCTTTCTCACACACACACATGCACACACATACACATGCTCATCCACACTTACCCATGTCCTTCTCAACTAGACTGCCAGGCATTAGCCAGAGGGACGGAAGCTGCCAAGTCTGGATCCAAAGACGACTTGAAGAGTGGGTGGGCTTCAGGAATCCCTTTTATCCCCCGAAGTCCTTGCTTTGTTGATTCACAAGACTGGCAGCTACTCTCACCTTGTTAATTTACAAGTCTGGTAGCTGTTGATGGGATTGGAGGGAGGTTTTCCATGTAAGCAGGCCCAACTTCTTTTGTCTGGTTCAGGTGACATTTTTTCCTTTGTTTCCTTAACAACTTGTTTCCTTCTTATCCACCTCCCCAAAAGGAGCTTTTAGACAAAACCTTGGTGTTTTGTCCTCTCTGCTTATGTGTCTGCTTCATCTTTAGATATGGCAGCTTCAGCCTAGCCTCACAAAACCAAATTTAAAAGGCTGACTCCTTAATAACTTGCAACGGGAAATATAAGTTTCTGGAAACCAGAATTAATATGGCAACTGCAATTATTCAGAAAAAGATAATCTATAAGCAAAAAGAAGTAATGCTTCACATCTTAAAACTGTAATAGAGGCACCTTTTAGTGGGAAGATGGAGGAAGGCTGTAGCATCAACTACTATTTAGTACAGTCATGATGAGAAAGTATTATCTATGCCGTCACATTTCTCATAGGTGTTGGTAATGGATTCCCTCTCAATAGCCAATGGGAATTTTATTCTGGAGCTTTTCAAGAAGCTGAATCAGTCATCACAAAGCAAAAATATTTTCTGTTCTCCTTGGAGTATCTCATCTACTCTTGCCATGATCTATCTGGGGGCAAGAAATAATACTGCAACCCAGATGGCCGAGGTGAGTTCAGCAATTATTATTGTTGGTCACATAGTCAGCCAGAAGTTTAGACTGGATTTGGTATTTTTATCCACCTATTGAGTCCTTCCCAAGGACCTGGGATAGGCAGATGTTGTTGTTTTATTATGGTTGGTCGCAAAGTCAGCCAGATGTTTACAGTTATTATAATTATAATTATTATTTCTCCTTTTTTATACATAACTCAAGGTGGTGAACATACCTAATACTGCTCCCTATTTTCAGCAATTGGGTATAACTGACACTCATTTCACCCTCACATATAGTTTATAGCTATACATTTTTTTAAAAAAATGTTGACTATTCTTAACATGGAAACAATAATAATTTTTTAAAAAATGAAATGTAAATAAGATCCAGACCCAGGGAAGCATAGTTAGGAAAATCTAAGGGTTTTCAAGTTTCAGGTTTAAAATAAAATGTATTTAAACAGTTGGTGGATGAACATTTTAAGCCAGATGTTCCTTAAATTTGAATACTGTTGTCATATTTAATATAAACTTTCATTTACTACTTTATTAAGAAAATGCATTCTATTTAACTTTCTAGTAATTATCCTTACAACTCTGTTATCAGGTGCTTCATTTCAACCCAACAAATGGAACTGAAAATTTTTCACAGGTAACGTCTTGTAACCGAGCAAAAAATAAAGGAATAGAGTAATTCTGCCATACATATATAAATAAAATGTGCATATACACATTGTATGCCAATCTGTTTCCCGTTTTGTCCTATTTCTCACAATATTTTTCCTCATTTTGGTCAATCTATCAGTCATTTCCTATCCACAGGAAGACCAATTTGGCCCTGGGGACTCCTAGATTAAAGTTATCATTTTCATGCAAACAGTCAGGGTAATGAATGATTTTATTCCAGCAATTATTTTCAGCTGTACTGAAGCTGGAAATGTTGTGCATGTTCGTGCATATTTTTTTATGTACATATGTGTATGTGAGTATGTAAGTATGAACACTGAAAATATTCATTCAAATGCAACTGAGACCGTGAAGCCTAACACTGTCTCTGTACAAAGGAGCCGGACCTTAGCCAAGATGAAACCCTCCACAGGGCGTTCCGGGAACGGATCTCAGAAATCAACCAACCCAGTAGCACTTACTTGCTTAAAATTGCCAGTAGGCTCTATGGAGAAAAAACATTTCCGTTTATTAATGTAAGTACCGTTATTTACCATTAGCTGTATTGTTTCATTTTAAACAAATGTATAAGACTAACCTCCAGGATGATTGGAGAAATAACTTTAAGGGAATTTGGGATGTTGCAAATCTGAGTAGTAGGTCCCCTTCCAACAACAGTTCCTAATCAAGACAAGAGATGCTGTGAACAGGGCTTGGATACAGGCCTGCAGGTCCTCATTTTTCTTTCTGTACCTCCACGGGAGCAGCCTAAGTGCTTGCATCTGATTACTGGGGAATGGGAGGCAGAATTTACTGCCTGTTCTCCTGACTCCTCAGTCTGCTCAATGATTTAGAAAGGAAAGTGCAACACTCAGGAAAAGTAGCAGCTCCAGGAAGGTTCAGGGTTGGGAATCACAGCAAGAAGGTTGACTTAATGCTTGCATTAGTGAACTGGTATAATGCTCTGCTTTCAGGAAGGATTCCACCTTCTGAATGCTGATCTAACTGATTTCAATACACGCATATCCAGAGAACAAGCTACTGGCATATGAGTATATGATCCCATGGACTGTTTATTTTTAATAGTTATATGTCCTTTTATGTCCATAAGGAACTTCTCCCTTGCTGGCTCATAGCAGCCTAGATGATTGGATGTCACTGATACAGTTAATTTAAAAAATCATATACCTCTTAAGTTATCTCTTTTAACATACACAGTATCAATAAGTTATTAATCAGCTGAAAAACATGAGATACATTAAAAAGTAGTGTGGATCTTTGTAGTAATCAATAATTCATATGATTAAATAATGAAATTGCAAGAAAAACATTCAAATTCTGCAAATAAGAAAAAAAAAAATTCCCCAAAGCCTTCAAACATGCCCATCACACCATTCTCTTTATGTAGAGTGAAGGGGGAAAAAATATGCTAAAGAAATTAAAGACCTGAGAAAAGAAAAAGAAAAGAAAATATAAAGCCTTCAAACATGCCCATCACACCATTCTCTTTATGTAGAGTGAAGGGGGAAAAAATATGCTAAAGAAATTAAAGACCTGAGAAAAGAAAAAGAAAAGAAAATATAAAGCCTTCAAACATGCCCATCACACCATTCTCTTTATGTAGAGTGAAGGGGGAAAAAATATGCTAAAGAAATTAAAGACCTGAGAAAAGAAAAAGAAAAGAAAATATAGCTAAATCTAGTTTACACCAAGACTTTTCATTATACTTCTCCATAACTTTCAGTTCTGGCAATCTGTCCTTCTATGACACCTATATACCACTTCATTCATTGCCCTTCGTTCTTTACATGGCTCACCTCTCTTTTTTTCAGGATCTCATCAACTCCATCCAACCCTGACTTTGTCAGATTTTGCCTTTCTCTCAACCAATTCACTCTTCTTTCATTCATTTGTTTTGCAATTAAATCCTCTATCGTTCTCTTTGTATGACCAAGCCACTGTTTTTCATACTGGTCACTTATTTTTTTGCACTCACTCCAGATTCATTCAGCACCTATTCACTCTTGACCTATCTCTTCTTGGTTTACCACACCAGTGTTTTACAACTTCCATATGCTATAGTCAAAACCAGATGGGCCTATTGCTATTGACCATTGTCACTGATCATGACCTTGGTAGACTTTCACATAATGCTCTGTAGAAAGATAGAGAGGGTACAGACAATGTTATAGCCTTAGCAATATCTGTGCCTCATGTAGCATTCCCTTTTGATAAGGACAGTGCCAGTCAGTTTGGGCATATTTTGGCCCCTGTAACACAAGTGCAACCAAACCCTAGTTTTACCCTAAGCATGCTAACACTACTCTATGCAACTAGGATCTCTAATCTTGAAAGTAATTTGCAAGCCAACATACTCTTGCCTGCATCCTACCAGTGAAGCGTTATATGTAAAGTACTGTACTGACATGATCACGATCAATAAGATATCGGCTTCACTAAGATTTTTAGCCATACTTTGTTGTTCGCTATACATTCTTTAGGAACAGGGACAGAATATGTTGTACATTTCAGGCACAATCTATATTCATATTTAACCGTCTCAATATAAACTCTTGTACTTACACCTTTCAGGAATATCTGCAGCATGCTAAGACATATTATCACGCAGAGCCACAATCAGTTGATTTTTTAAGTTCTGCAGAACGAGTCAGAGATCAGATCAACTCATGGGTCGAAGGACAAACTAAAAGTAAGCTCATTCTCCCAGTCAGTTACAGAAGATTGTGGTCTCGTTCCCATATTTTGCTTAGCTATGGTTTCTTTCGCCATGGAATAAATTGCAGTTGGCTGGACTGGATTGGTAATTCAAACACCAAAATTAATGCCACAATAGCTGGGCTTATACAACAAGTTAAGCCCAAAACAGCCATGTTATATTTTAGCTTTACCAATGTATGAATAACACCACGGAGTTCATACGATATGCTAAGCCATAATGTGGTCTATTTGGTTTCCCTAGCAGGTTGTGTGAACCACAGTTTGGTTTGTAGGTTTGTAAAGCAGAGTTTACTACTTATTAAAATGTGTGAATCAGTGATTCTCAAATGTCTTATTTTCTATCAACCATTTGAAAATTGCACAAGTTAATAAACCTTTCCTCATACTAAATATCAAAACATAACTTAGATATTAATTTAAAAAGAACTCTTTCTGTGTCAACATCATAATCAAAACCAATCTTAAAAGATGAAAATAATGGGCCCTGTGAAGTTACTTTTAATTCAGAAATAGATAATCCATGGCCCTTGATCTCTGGAGCTCCCTCTAGCAAAGGTCCTGAATTTTATTATTGCAATTATCAAGCACTGATGGTGCACTTTCTTGGCCATCTGATGCAAAAACATTCATGAAAATGGTAGTATAAGCTCTAAATTAGGTTTTACCCAGTTTTCAAAAGCCCAAGAAATAAACTCCAAGCTGCTCTCCAAACCAGGATTCCCCCTCCCCCCAAATCTATGTTTTGGCTACACACACTTGATATGGACCTTGGCTACATTCTAGCAACTCGTCCCCATCAACTGCAATCCTCATTCCCTCAAAACATTGTTTAAATTCCAGCCACCAAATTATACCCCTTCCTGCTTTACATAGTTCATTCCTATGGAGCAATTAATAGAGTGCACCAATACCACATTATGAAAATCACGTGTCTGAAGTATCAACAGGTTGCTTACTTCTGCATTCTTGGTGAATGTGTAAAAATCAATAAAATACTTTATCATTTGATGAAAATCATGTGTTCTAGGCCATAATCTTATAAATCTGTTTGATAATGCAGCTCTACTCAAAAGTGAGTTGCTCTCAGGAAGAAAAAAAATCATGTACAGGAGCTAAATGCAGATATTCTAAAGTGTTGTGCCATTTGTTCCCACATATCTTTTAAATGGAACTTGTGGATTTGAATTTTGCAATTCAGTGTGATGTTGGCGATGAGAGAGGTAGATAAAGAGCTTTAAGGGTATTACAATATTTACAGAAATTATGGTAACCGTAGTAATTATGCATGAACCAGGTTCTATCTAAAGGAAGTTTAGGAAGAAATACAGAATGAAGCAATTATATGCAAAATTCCAGCATAATGGCTTGAGCCAAGAACCTCTTCTCTCTTGGAACTAGATCATAGAAGGCAAACACTGACATTATTGGTTTAAAGAGAAATCTAAAGGTCTACTTCTAGTTAGGAAAAGAGTTTCTGGCTTGATCAGGAAACAGTGTGATTCAATCAAAGGCAGTTCCTTAGAAAATCATGTGTTATTTGTACTGCTGTCTAGAATCCCTGTACTTACACAAATGTTATCCTTTGCCTTCCCAAGACAAAATCAAGAATCTGTTGCCTAAAGGTGCTGTTGATCCTCAGACTGTATTGGTCTTAGTAAATGCCATTTACTTCAAAGGAAGGTGGGAGAAAAAGTTTCCAAAAGAAAACACCATGGAGAAGCCCTTCAGACTGAATAAGGTATGCTCATATGTATAATGGGGACAAATGTGAAGGATATTAATTAATTGCAAAAATTATTAGCAGTTCTGCACATCATGTTCAAAACAAACATATTAAAATGAAAATTACTAAATCAGGATGATTAAATATAAGATGTAGAGTCTAATTATTCAGAGTTTACTCTTCACTGTTGCAACTAACCTCTTGCCAACTAGTCTTGTTTAACTTGCCAAGAACACCTACAGTGACTTTGGCTTGAACTTGTTTTCATTGCTACTACTTATTTATTTTATTACTATGTGTGTGTGTGTGTGTGTGTGTGTGTGTGTCAGATTTCTAGGCTGCCCACTCCAGTGGCTCTGGGCAGCTTAACATGTACAAATGGTAAAAATCAAAAATAAAATCCAAAGAACCAATGTCATCTGGAAGGAACAACAACCAATTCTCTCCACACCCAGGGAGATCAAAACAGAACCTCTACCACCCCCGAATTACCCTAACTCAAGGCCTAGGGGAAGAGCTGGGTTTTGTATGCTCTTTTAAAGGTCAATGGGGAGGGGTCATGTGAATCTCCAGCGGGGATGCTGTTCCAGAGGGCAGGTACGGTGATGCAGAAAGCCACTTCGGGGTCCTGCCAGATGACATTCCTTAAATGACAGGATCAGGAACAAACAAACTCTGTCAGATCTTACAAGGTGGATAGAAACCATAGGAAACAGACAGTCCTCAAATGAATAGGCCTTAAGCCATGTAGGGTTTAAAACTACAACTAGCATCTTGAATTGCCCCCAGAAGCCAACTGGCAACCAGTGCAGTTCATGGAGCACTGATGTTTTTACAATTCATATCCTACCTTTCTGTCCTCGAGATGATTTATCAGTTAAAAAAAGAAATAGAACAAATACTTGAAATTATTATTAAAAAAAATTAAAATCAGTATAAGATAGCTCAAAGTGAGAAGGCCAGGTTAAATAGGAAGGCCTTGAGGTCCTAAAAGTAGAAAGAGTGGAGTTGAATACAGGTCCCACGAAGGTGTATTCCATAACTCGGGAGCAATGTAAACAAAGGCCTTATCCTGTGTGCCCCAAAAATAACTTCAGAAAGTGGAGGCATTTTTAAGAAGGCCTCCCTTGCTGATTTTAGCATCCGGACAGATGCATACGGAGAGTTTGTCCTCAGATAATTTATCACGGATATTCGGTAAGTAACAACTGTAAATTAAGGTGTCCAGAAGGAAACCAACCCTAAAAACAATGTATAGACTTAAGTCTCCAGTTATAATAAACAGTTTTTAAAATAAAAATAGCCACTAACTCAACAAGAAGCAGCAATGTCACCAACTCTATTAATTTCTACTTTCAGTGATATTCCAGAGTGGAAACTTGTTATCACAACCCCCAAGTTGCAGCAGAGATGATTTTTGGAATCATACATGGTTTGATTTAATTTCTGTGCTGCTATTGTCTTTATCAGGTCTGAAAAACTCTGAACTTTTTGTTTTTTTAAATTAACAGATCCAGTCAAAGCCTGTACAAATGATGATGGTAAAGAATAAGTTTCCAGCATTCTATGTTGACACACTACAGGTCTTTATTGTAGAACTTCCATATGTTAACAATGACCTCAGCATGCTCATCCTTCTTCCAGAGGATATAAGAGATGAGACTACTGGTCTGGAGCTGGTAAATACTGTTTTTACATATTTTCAAAGACTGTTAGATAGCAGACAGATACGTATGAATAAAACGTTCTCCCATATTGCTAGTATAACTTTCTGGCAAACTAATGATTTCTAGATTTACTAAAATACAATCCACTATATTCAATGAAGCTCTCTTCTAAGTAACTGTGTAGTGCAGATGTGGGCAATCTAGAACTTATAGGTGGCCCAACAGAGATTTTGCTGCAGCCTTGCATGAATGTCCAAATTCTCTACATCTCTTAACTTGCCAGTGTTGAATCTAGTACCATTGCTTTTTTTTTTTTGTAAGACCCAGTAACCACAAGGTCCTCTAAGTGGTCTGGCTTATATACTGGGCAAACTTAATAATCAGGGAAATTTAACAGAATTGGGATCTTTCAGGAAATCAGCCATTTGTGCAACAGCCAGAAATTGTAGAGTGCTCTGTATTGTACACTGAAAGAGCTCTCTGTGGTCAACTTTAAGACATCTGGACTTCGACTCCCAGAATTCCCCAGCCAGCATGAAGTCCATACATTTTAAAGTTGCGAAGGTTGAGAAACATTACCCTAGACTAGAGTAACTTGACGTAACTCCCAAACTGCAAGTAGCCATTGAGCTGAAAAAGCTGCCCAATCTTGTCTTAGGTTTTATTTTGTACCTGCTACCAGAAAAAAATTGTCATTTGTGCCCCCATGTAATTCCTCTCCTTTCTGGGGAATAAAAGTTATAGTGTAAACTTATTTATGTTTGCTTAGAAGGAAAGGTTCTATGTGATTTTCTCTGATAATTGTGGGTAGAGTGCACTTTAAGCCATCTCCTCCCTCACAACATTGTTTTTCCCTTCATAAGAAAATCATACATGTCAATTAATGCTTCCTATCAAACTTTCTCTCTAATCTGACTCTAGCTGGAAAAAGAACTAACTTATGAGAGATTATCAATATGGACCAGTCCAGAAATGATGGAAGAACTAGAAGTGGAGATTCACTTACCCAGAATCAAACTGGAAGAGAGTTACAAGCTCAAGTCTACCCTGAGCAAAATGGGAATGAAGGATGCCTTTGATCCCAACCAAGCAGATTTCTCAGGAATGTCAATCAAAAATGGCTTGGTTTTGTCTGAAGTATTTCACCAGTCCTTTATAGAGGTCAATGAAAAGGGTACGGAAGCAGCCGCTGCTACTGCAGCACCTGTTGAATTTAGGTCATCTTTACGGGCTGTCCAGGTCAAAGCAGACCATCCCTTCCTTTTCTTCATCAGGCACAACCAAACAAAAAGCATTCTCTTCTTTGGCCGGTTTTGTTCTCCCTAGGATTTTTTTAGTTTCTCCAGTTTTACTCAGTGACTCTTGTGAAGTTGAAATCTGAAATGCACTTAGCCAGGAAAACTCATTGAAATCAGCAGAGCTGATGTTGGAGCAAAAATGCTTAGGAGCAGGTTGAAGATATTACAAGCACTAAATCTAGGCCAAATGTTTTTAAGGCATTACAGTCTGCATACTATCCTGCAGCAGCCCACCGAACTCCTGTGCTCCTTCTCTACACCGGGGTTTCTCAACCTTGGCAACTTTAAGATGTGTGGACTTCAACTCCCAGAATACCCTTCCCAGTGCTGACTGGGGAATTCTGGGAGTTGAAGTCCAGACATCTTAAAGCTGCCAAGGTTGAGAAACACTGCTCTACATGACAAGACAACATTTAATACAAGTTTCCCCAACCTGATTTGGGACTTCAGCTAGCAAAACTGTCACTCATGGCAGCTCCAGATTTGAGTGCTGAAATATGAACTAGTGCATATTTTGGAAGATATGTTTAATACAAACTTCTCTATAATATCCGTACTTTGCAGGACCTCCTTTCTTAACTTATTTCTACCTGAGCTGCTAGATCCAATAGGGCGGGCATGCTTTGGGTCCTCTCTTTTAAACAGTGGCACCTGGTGGGACCCAGGAGGCGTGCCTTCTCTGTCGCTCTACCTGCCCTCACATCCCCAGAGATTCATTTGGAACCAGCCCTGCCAGCATTTCATAAATCTTTGAAAACCTAGTTGTTCCCTTCAGCATGGGGTATAGAATAGAAATCTTTATGAATTTCTATTCTACAAATTTATTATTTATATACAAATTCTGTACAAT